AATAATAATAATAATAATAATAATAATAACAATAATAATATCAATAATAACACTAATAATAACAACAATAATAATAACAATAAAAATTGTAATGAAGCAATATCAAATACGTCACTTGTAGTAATTCATTGGTAAAGTTAAGATGAAAAATAGAAACGAGAAGATTAAGAAGGTAGCAAAGGATTAAGAAAGTAATTATAAATGGATGTTTTGTTACACAGATGTGAAACTGTAGGTGTAAATAATCTTGTTTTGTAAATAAGCTAGTTTTCAACCGAGGGAGGAGGATTTGATGAAAGCAGTATGACCGAGCGCTTATGGCTGAGGATTTGACCGAGGTCATGGCTTGGCTGCGGCTATTGACACTGTGAGCGCGGCTATTGCTGCAACAGCTAATTTTGTTACTATTGCTGCTTCAGCAGAAGCTGCTACTGCTGCTGCCGCTGCTACTGCTACCGCTACTACTGCCACTGGGTTGCTTTTGCTGCTACTGCTACTGTTGCTGCCGGTGGTGGTATTTTATTAATGCAGGCTGACGAAATATCATGTCATTTGATTGTCATAAATTAAGTCGCCGAAAATGCAAACATATCATTAGGATGTAAAATACATTCCGAAATATATCCATAAAAATGAACGAGTCAAAATGGCAGGGCATTTGTTTTACTGGAAAATGATACTGAGTGAAAGCGAAATGAATGGATTTACAAATTGCAAAATTTCAATATCTGAAATGGTAACTCAGTTCGTGAGAGATTCTGCTCTATGATTTGCGTAACAACCCGGCCATCCAGTGTGAGAATCCAATGTTAGTGATGTTATGTACTTCACTGATACCATTCTAGCAATGATACAAACCGGCTTCTCGACGGAGGAAAATGCAATGTGTTTTGGCGCCCAGCGTCTAGACTGATACCTCTTTTTTACAGCACGGCGTTTTTCAGCTTTTTAATGCCTAATTTCAGCATTCTAGAACTACTTTATTGGACTTTTGCAGTTATTTGGCACTTTTGAGCCAGTTTTTTTGCTTTTTTTTCTGTTTTCTTCCATATCCAGTCTCTTTTTCGCTAATTGTTTACGTTTTTGGTTATATTTTTTGCACTTGTTTGGAGGGAAGGAAAGAATCGATAGACACAAACTTACTCATGATTTAATGACATTTGTTCATTGTAATATTAGTATAATTATTGATGAAATTTATATTTATGATATAAAAAATATAAAAATTAATCAATGGAACAAGAATCTTTTATACGAAACATATGCCAGGATCGGCGATAAATTGATCACCGTGCGATCAAGACAGCTTTGATCAAGGCAATTTTTACAGTTACATTTA